AGCCAAATTGACTTTTCCTTACAAAGATAATGATTACTTTAGAATAGTTGGCTTTGTTGAATGTGCATTTCAAAATTTCACATTCCCATTTCTTATGTGATGAAAAGTAAGATTGCCTCGGGCATAATTATAATAAGGTAACATTTACAAATGTTACAATTAAATGTTCTTAAACAATGTACAAAATAGTTCCCGTTTGGTCATTGTACTCATCTTGTATCAAAAAAAATTATTTACAACCGTTTCAAAACATATTTGGGAATTTTTGCTCAAAAGAGTGCAAAATGGAGAGAATGACAACTAATCAAGTCAAGTCAACTTTTTTTATAGAGCACATTTAAAACAGAACCTGTTTTCAAAGTGCTTAACAACAACAACAACAACAATCAATGAGTAAATTAAAGAGAAAAATATATAAACATATATATACAATACACTAATAATAATAACTGAATAATTAATAAAAAGCATTTAAAACATAGGGTCACAGATTAAAAAACACTAGATCAATTTACACTGTGTGAAATGTCTGAGAGAACAGATGTGTTTTAAGCAGGGATTTGAAGTGAGGAAGGGAGGTGGCCTGCCTGATGTTGGGGGGCAGGTTGAAGGGAGGTGGCCTGCCTGATGTTGGGGGGCAGGTTGTTCCAGAGTTTGGGGCCCATGACTGAAAAAGCCCGGTCTCCTCTGAGCTTCAGTCTTGTTTTTGGAACAGCCAAAAGCAGCTGATCGGATGATCTCAGGGCCCAAGAGGGAACGTAAGGTTCCAGAAGCTCAGAGGTAAAGGGGTGTGAGGCCATTTAAGCATTTGAAGGTCAACAGAAGAATTTTAAAAACTATCCTCGTACGAACAGGGAGCCAGTGAAGGGAGGACAGAACTGGTGTAATATGTTCAGAACTACAAGTTCCGGTTAAAAGCCGAGCAGCAGCATTCTGGACGAGCTGAAGACGCGAGATGGAGGCCTGGCTGATCCCAGCATACAGTGCGTTGCAATAGTCCAATCGGGTTGTGACAAAGGCGTGGACTAGTTTCTCAAGGTCAGGTCTGGACAACACTGACTTGAGCTTAGCTACCTGTCTGAGTTGGAAGAAGCTTTTCTGCAGAACAGAGTTAATTTGTTTGTCAAACTTAAAATCAGAGTTTAAAACCATCCCGAGATTTTTACCAGACTGCTTCAGATATGGCTGAAGAGAGTCCAGGTTGACAGGATCAGTGGTGGCAGTTGAGCTAGGGCTAGGGCTAATGAACAATAGTATAAAATACAGCAACTACAGCATAGATTACACCATTAATAGAAATCTTATTACAGTAGTCCCTCGCTACTTCGTGGTTTGTTTAGCCCAGATTCGCTCTATTGTGGTTTTTCAAAATAAGATTGGGCATGACACACAATTGGCTGATTGATGGATGAGCCAGACGACTGGCATGGATTTTTAAAAATTATTAATTATTTTAAATTATTTAGCACCCGCTGCACATTTGTGCAGCCCATACTGCAGGATAAACTTCCTGTTGCAGCTGATCAGCTGATCTCCATGTAGAGTGGAGAAGTGGGCGTGGTCAAGAGCGCTTGCAGGTGGCAAAGAGCAGAGGAGGAAGGGAGCTGAAATCATGACAATCTGTGCTCTTTTAGAGCGTTTAGAAACATTGTTTATATTGCAAGAGTGTGGGAAGGGTTTAAAACACCTACATATATATATATATATATATATATATATATATATATATA